TGCTACTGCTACTGCTACTGCTACTGCTACTGCTACTGCTACTGCTACTGCTACTGCTACTGCTACTGCTACTGCTACTACTACTTCTTCTACTACTACTACTACTACTACTGCCACTACCACTATATACTCCTATCACTAATATCCCCTACGGCGGCCACTCCGACCGCTCCAATATTACACCAACGTTCGTTGCTGCTGCTGCCACTGCTATCACCACCACCACCACCACCACTAATGCCCCTTTAGAACCCGAATCGTACACAGTCGCAAGACTCTGCTGCGTCTTCACCGCGTACGAGTGTGGAAAGTACAGTCACCGAAAACTCTGCGACTTGTACTGTTAGATCCTCAACCAGCAATAACTCAGGCGGGCAGGGGGGAAGGCGGGGGGGGGAGGGAGGGGGGGTTTGTCAGCAGAGCTTAACGGATGTCGATTTGGGTTTGGGTGTGGAATTTACTGCTGGAACTCCTTGTCTTGGTGATACGCAACCAACTCGGTTTACTGTTTGGGATTCCGGATCGCTTCGGGGTCCGGGTTTACCTGGTTGGACTGCAGTCCCTCCGTCATCCGAGCCGCTTCTCGCAGGTGCAGGTCAAACGGATGCCCAGGAAGCCCATCAAGGAAGAGAAGGCAAACTGCCGATGAGCTTCGGGTATGTAGGGATAGGACAAAGTTTGGGGTTTTTTAAGGTTAGTATATGCAACTCAATACATTAACATGAACATCTACTGCGGCAACGGAGGCATATCGAAATGAAAAGCACTGCTCCAAGTGCTGTGTAGTGCACAGCCGATTTCACGGGCATGTAAACTTGTGCACATCAGTGTTACGGCAATGCAGAACATGCGAGCCGTCCGTGGTTCGATGGGGTGGCCAGTAGGTTCAATAGATATTACGATATGCCTCTCTGACGTCTCGCAGGTACATGTTAAGCTCACCATGTTAGAAGAATGCAGCACTGACAGCTACAGGTTCGACAACCCCCAACCATCCCAGCACCCCGCTGCTTGCAGGCATCCCCCTCGCCGATGAGGAAGCGGGCTCCGTTGCAAAGACGACCAGCATGGAGCTCAGAGTCACTGTCAGCCTACCTGCATGGGTTATGCGATCCAGCCACCTGTAGCAGCATATGTGACTGAAGGGGAAAAGGTTCTCCAAAATATTCACAACACTTATTGTATTATTCTTATGATTTCAGTGTCGCTTACCATGCCTTTGACATTGCTTACTTCGCATCTTGCTCGTTTGATGCAAAATCTGCTGGCTTTGTTTGAAGTTTGGCATCGGGCCCTAAACCCTAAACCCTAAACCCTTTTAGCTTTACAGAGTGGGCGGGTTGAGGCTTCCGGCGCAGTGATAGAACTGAGATCTGCTTTGGTACTTTTTCATGCAGACACTCGACAAAGTTTGGAACTCTCTGGTTTTACTGGGGCTTTTGTCAGGGCTCTTCGTCAGGATCCATGTGCAGATTTCGGTGTAGAGGTTCAGGGTTTCGCTTTCACAGTTGAGATGTCTTGTATCAGGGTCCATCATTATCTGAAACTCTTTTCCTCCTGGCACAGGTGCAGGTCAAGCGGATGCCTCGCAAGCCTGCGCCGACAGAAGAGTCCCTTACCTGCACCCCAAGCCTTCAAAGCGCCCGGAAGCCCCAGGACCAGAGCCCGAAGGGAGTCCTTTCGGTTTGGGCAGGGGGCTCTTGGGACGGCTCCAGGACCCGCTGGCTTTGTGCGTGTGTCCCGTTGCCACGAAATGCGCATACCAGTAGCTCTGAAACCTTGTCAACTCGTAGTACACGTAAAGTCAGAGAATGAACCTCTATAGCACCCCGGACCTCAGGAAAGCCGCTCTCAAACCAAAGCGTAATGTGGATACATACGATTCAACCGAACCCTAGTGCGGAATAGTATCAATGTCCAATGTGAGGATGCAGGAGGCGTTGGAAAAGGAAGCCGCCGATGCACTCAAGGCTGGGGCAGGATAGAACCCTGCAAGCGATCTTATGGCCAAGGGGCATGTAGGCTGACTAGCGTGGATCGGCGAGTAGACCACGCTCCTGCAGAGATCAGTATCGTCGGATCCTTCTAATAATTCTAGTAAGGGCTCTACGGACGGGAGTGTCCGTCAATCAAGACATAATCAAAGACAAGATTATAAGTATGCAGGTCACAGCTGCCCTGCTCTTCATATGCTTGTGAAGAAACACGTGCAGTCACGCATGCGCATTCTCAGAAAGACAATCCACTGTCACTGCCCGATGGCAAAAACGATGCAGAAAACACCACGCAATCAACATGCTGTTACCATACCAGATGTTTCCATGGACCCTAAACCCTAAACCCTAAACTGCCTAAACCGTATCAGATGATCAGGTAGCAGCAGTCCCCAGGATGCCATACAGACATCTTGATAGCAGTCAAGACCATGGATCTCCTCCGCGGGTTTCGGGTGGTGGAGGGTTAGGGTTTCAAGGGTCGGGGGGTGCTTGATCTTGCGCAGCGAAGCCTGCATCCTAGCATTGGCCCTCTCCTAAACCGTTAGACTACAAAGCAGAGAGGGACGAGTCGTTTGCAGAGGGCTCTCTTTCGGCTTCCAGGCTAGACCCGGGCATCACCTTGCCAAGCAAGTCTTAAATCCAAACGCCGATTTTCAATCGCCGGTGGGTATGGAGCGAAGGCCGTCGAGGTCGCTGTCCAGTTGGTCGAGCAGTACAAGAAACTCCGCAGAGCCCTAAATCCCCAAATCCTAGTATTGGCGGCTGTCCTCTTTGGTTTTGGGTTGCTGTCTATCTTGTAGCTCCTTCTTGGGGCGTGCTGCTGAATTGTTAAATCAATCCTGTCATGGCGTTAGGGCGAGTCAGGGCCAGTGGGAATTCTTGTCAGGGTGTCTTAAAGCTTCAGGTGTTGACGTTTGCCTTGTGCTTTGGGGCTCGGGGTGTGAGCCTCAGGGATTGCCTGTCCCTTGATAGTTGATTAGGGCTTGGGGTTTAGGGTTTAGGGTTTAGGGTTTAGGGAGGCTTTGCCACTGTCGGCTTATCGTTCAAAGTGGGCCACTCTGTTCAGGGCTTTTCGCCCCCCACCTCTTTTTGAGCGTTACGTCCCTTCTCGGGCCGCAGGTTTGTCACATGGAGCCATTGAGTTGAACCTTTACGCTGACATCAAACCTTGACTGACAGACAGAGAGCCAAGTCGCCCTGACCCTTATAGAAGGTCTATATACCATATAGAAGCCTTATAGAAGCCCTAGATACCCTAAACTCCCCACCTGTAGTTTCCTTTAACTAGGGGTTTAGGGTTTGACATCTAAGGAAAGAGTTGAACTCCGCCCGTCTGGCAGCCGAGGGCAACCAACAGGAGAACGCGACACCATCCCCTTAGAGTCCCTTTATTAATTATGTTTCAGGATGAAATATCCCCAATACCCTGGCTTGTTTTAAGTCATGGCCGCTATATATCTAGGTTTAGGGGGTTTTTGAGGGGTTTTGATTTGGACTTCAGGTCGAAGTGCTTCAGGAGAGGCGGGGTTCGGGCAGTGGGACGGGCCTTCAGGTCACCGAGCACTGCATGGACTCGGGCTTCGGGTTTAGGGGAGCAGGGTGCATAAATTTGTTTGATGAGAGATAGAGAGATACAGAGAGATACACAGAGAGAGAGAGAGGCTTCTTCAAGAATTTGGAGAATTTGGATTCGACCTGGGTGAGTCCATGGCTGTTTCCACATGATCCTAAAAGCCCAAACCGGTTCGCGAAGCCTGAACTCAAGACCTCCAGAATTTGGACGCAGGACCTCCTGGTGAGAGTCGCGCAACAGGCTTACGACCTCGCCATGAAGGCCATGCCGGGCAGCCTCCCCTGAGAGGTCGCCAGTAGAGGAACTGACAGACCTCAGATGAGCACGCAAAACGGGGCTACAATCTGAGTACCACCCGGGTTCAGAGTCCGATTTAGACTGGAGCCAGGCAGCCCAGCCCGCACCGTAACCTCAGCCGGAAACCCACGCAACCTACTCAACCCTTCTCAACCCTACTCAACCCGACACCCTGAACCCGAGACTCCTAGACCTTAACAGCCCCAACAGGAGGCCTTGAAAAGAAAGCCCTTGAGCCCTAAATCCTAAACAAAAACAAATGCCTGAAGAGCCCACCCGTCCCCCCTGGCAGGACAAGCAGTGGTCGGCAAGCAGTTTGCAGGAGATCATGGAGAAGCTGAAGCAAGCGAAGCAGCTTTCAGCGCTCAAAACCGAGAGCGAAGACGGCGAAGCACCGACGGTTCCAGTGAAGGACACGAAACTCGCACGAGCTTCAGCTTGTTGTGGAGGGTGAGGCCTTCTGTTTGAGAGCAGTGGGAGTCTGGGCGGCTGTACAGCTTAGAGGTGGGCTGAAGGGAGCATTCATTGCCGAGCAGATCTTTTGCGAGCTGCCCCTCACCGATGCATTTGATCAGATCTCCATGTCTTCTAAACGATCCTGCGGATCAGACGGCCTTCTGCCACTGCGGAGACCTTTGCTCGGCATTCTGGTTCGAAGACAGCCCGGGCTTCTGTTAGATCTGTTCAGAGCAGCGCCAGGAGGAGATTCCGGACCACATTCGCAGCAGGCCTGCCGTGTTGGAAAGTCTTGGCACTTGACACTCGGATTGCCAGCACATTAGTTCAGCAGCAAGCAGCCTGGTGGTCCAACTTTGAACTCAACTTGTACATGTCGGTTGAGGTTCATTGAGGCCAGTGCTGGTATCATCAGTATGATTCAGTATGTTAGTTGCTGCACTCTCGTTGTTACGATTAGTGTTATGTTTTTGTCATTAGACTTATTGCTTGTTGTGTTTCTGACTACATACTATGGCATGGAAAGGCTAATGCTCAAAGCTGGTGCGATATAACAGCCTTTGTGAGCGATGGCTCCGGGCATAGGGTCAAGAGATGTTGGAGTTTTGAGGTGCATGGCAAGATGTCGGATGATGCCTGGCTCTTGTTGATGCCTTGAGCTCTGGAGCCACAACAGGTCTCCGACAGCCTCCATCTACAAGGTCAAAGAGTTTCCAGCAGTTGGAAGCTGGAACAGGGTAGATTGGAACACGAGCTTGAAAAGCAGGCTGGGTTCATTGGTTCTGGCCCTTCCGCTACCGCGTGAAATCGCATGTCTTAGCATCCACAAGCCCGTGTAGAGTTGCGTGCTGCACGGTGTCAGATGGGCAAGATCCGTGGACGATCCAAAGCTGCTGTATTTTGCAGATATCACTCAAGCCTCTCCCTTTGCCGTGCCCGAAACCCGAAAGCCGAAACCTTAAAGCCAAAAGCGAAACCCTAGACTTGAAAGCACAAGCAAAACCCCAAACTTTATCCCCAAACCGCAAACCCTTTGCCTAATCCACCGGAAACTTGAATGCTGGGTCCGAAACAGGCTCGAGCCTCAGCTGTCCAGAAGGCGCCACTGGGTGTTCACAGAAAGTGGGGTTCGGATTTAGGATCTGGGGTTTGTTGTTTTGGGATTTCGGGTTCTACGATTTCAACTTTGGTTTGAGGGTTTTTTCAGCCAGAGGCTAAGGATGTGAGCGGATGATAGGAAAGGGCTTCAGAGAGAAATATGGCATGTTTTAACAGTCACAATGATAATAGTGATAGTAATAATATTGGTAACAGTAATAGTAAGTATAAAATCATGACAATAGTAGTAATAAGGTAAACTATGCTTTGCTTTACCGGTTCAGGTCTTCTCGATTCAGTCTTGAGGTCTTGCCCAGGAAAGCATTGACTTGTGGCACACCTAACTAACTCTTCACTCCGAACCATGAGCAATGATCAAGCAGCAAGCAGCGATATCTTAAACATGATGGCCAGTGATAGCCCATAAGTATCATCTAGCTTACCCACACAGCGTGGCTCCTAAGAAATAAGACTGTTTCAACTCGGACACTCCGTGGTGCATGTGGTGCCTTCCTGACAGTCCAGACTGTTTCGGTACGCACGACTGCCACAAGACGCAATAGCCCGTAAAACCGCTCCATGCTCAGGCTTGTTGGTTTGGAGATGTTTAGGGTTCACCTTTGCCTGGCTGCAGGATGTGCCTTCGGCAACTTAACCCAGCTCCGTGTGAGTTCCGACTCAGGCTTAGGGGCGATGCCGTGAAAACCCAAGAAATATGTACTTCTAAAGCCAACCACCTCAAGCTGCCCGGCAAGTCTGACATAATTTGGCAATTTAGGGAAAGGCTCGGGTTTCAGAGTTTAGCTCAATGCTTCGAGGTTCAGCAGTGCTCCGCGTAGTCCATCAGCACCAGGAGCTCCTTCCTAAGCTCAGTCGTCTTGTCGGGGTTTAGGGTTTAGGGTTTAGGGTTTAATGATGCAGTGAAATATAGTACAGTTTAACTGCATGTAAAAGTAACATACAATCTGATATAACGTAATCGCTTAGTAGAATAGTGTGACCCGTGCGATCCTGGTACCCAGTACTGTTGCATTCGATTTATCGCTACTCTACTGCGTAGGCTTCAGGCAACACTCTTTGCAAGTATGGATTCTTGTTGGTGTTTTTGGGTGTATGTTTGTAATATTTGTAACATATGTGGTAGCAAGACGAGGCAGCGATGACAATCGTGCTATTCTAATCACACTCTCTTAATCATGATTATTCAGGTTCATGGTCATAGTAGAGTAATTTATGTCAGTTCTGAGTCATCATCAAGAAGCTTCGCTGGAAACGCGTCCACAGCTCATCGCAGGGTCATCCTCAAGGCGAGAAAGCGGAAGCTTGTCTTGCAGTGGTGGCTTCGGAACTAAGGGAGGGAGGATTTGAAGGTTGGGGGTGTAATTGGGGCCTAAATATTTCCCCGTACTATTTTGGGAGGTTCCTCATTATACTTGTACTATATTGACCCCAAACCCTATTCAATCCCTATTCTAATATTTCAGCCTCTATATTAAGGGGTTCAAGGGGTTTAAGTCAAGGGAGTTAGCACTAGGGGATGATGGTTCTTGTACAGGGTATATAGTAGTTGTTGCTTCATTGCTTTGGTCACAGACCTTTATGGCCCTGCACAAATAAAGTGGCACCTTGCCTTGCTCAGCCCTAAACGCTCTTGAGCCCCAGGTCCTCAGCCCAAAGTCCTAGGTTTGGGCCCCCGCTTTGGGGCAACCGGGTCTCGTATCCGGGCTTCTAGCTTCTAACTTACCTGGGAGCCGGTCTCGGGGGCGATCTATCCGGCTTTCCTTCAATAAAACCTGCTTTTGCACAGCCGGATGTCCTCAATTCCCGGATCCGTGAACCTACGACGCTGAAGCCTTCGCGAATGGGGCTTGAAACGGGGCAGCTCCGATTGCCCTACGTATGAACACCAACGTCTTAAGAGCTTCAAGCAAAGGTTTTTGACTTCCCCGGTGCTAACCCGAACTCCCGAAACCCCATAGTCCAACAGAGCCGTAAAGTCTGTTCAGTCTTCGACGAATGTACAGCGACGACGAGTTCTCGGCTGATGCATCCAGCAAACGTCGAAGGAGGACCGGACGGGGGAAGGGCCAGGGGTGGTGTTTATAGGGTGGAGGGTTTGAAAGAGTTCGGGCTCCAGGGAGTCGCGCCTTATCAAGTCGGTGTGTTTTGGGCACCTGTTCTCGTTGGCAGGAACGGCGGGCAGGGACAGCATTCAGAGGCTTACCTTGACGACCCCAGACTGCGAATGCGGCCCCATGTAGAAAATCAGCCGGAGAAGTTTAGAATTTGGAAAGCTTGAAAAATTCAAGGCTTACGGCGGAGCGCATTGAGCCTTTCGATGAAGTCGAGGGCGTGCTTTGAGGCCCCAAACCCGAAGCGTGAAAAAGCGCAAGGATTCCAAAAATCGGCCGTACCAAACTCGGGACCATCAAGACCCAACGCCCAAATCCTTCAACCCTTAACAACTAAAGGATGTTGGGGGATCCGGCTCCGGGAAACTGGTAGCACTTCAGAGGCCTAGAGGTTGAGGGACAGCCTGTAAATTTCTGAATGACAATGCCGGAGCTGGACAGCCGTATGAAACGTGTGGATGCGGTGTTGGCACTTAAAGACTTAAAGAACAAAAGGATCAAAAGGCCGTCAGGACAGCCCTCCATCCTGACCCGAACCCCTTAAAACCCGAAGTCCTGAACCTAAGCTCAGAGTTTCTGCTCTCTAGTGCCGCTGATTCCAGAGGCAATAGCTCCCAAAGTTCTACTGGAGCTCAATGTTTCTAACTTCCCCTTGCCGCCCTTGATCAGGGCTTCACCGGAGAGGTGTTGTGCACGCCAGATATATCTGCTGAGGGAGGCACAGAGAAGCTCCAACGCGCCTTTGCCTGTCCGGGTTGCAGGGCCGCCCAGTTTCTGCACATGTTCCAGAACACTCGCAGGAATTGTGCCTACTCTCATACCACGCAGATTACAACACAGCGTATTGAAATATGCAAATTGTGTATGCCGAACTCCAGAGCGGCTTTCTGAGCATGCAGGCATATGTAGATATGTGCATATGTACGTAGGTACTCTGTGTGAAGAACAGTGCATCAGATCATTCAATGCATCAGGCTTCATTCCATGTAGAATTTAGACAGTATGACAAAATGTGAGACGATACAGACTAATATGCTGGCACATGGTATGTTGTAAATATCATACCAGATCGCATCGCAAACTTAAAGTAACATATCATATGACAGCTTAACACATCGCCGCACAATGAAGCCGAATGGGATTCGATACAACAGCATATAGCATAATGGAACATGATGAAACATTACACAGTCTGTCATAACATAATGACATGTAAAGCCAGTGGAATACGACTCGGTTTAAGAATGTGACGTGACATAGCGTGGTATGAGTTGGTATAGGTTGATGCACCGTAGCATGACATACCGTAATGCAACAATTTGTAGTAAAATATAACCAACAGTATATAACATAACATGCTATAATACAATACAAAGCATCACACTCTGGTATCATAGAAGGAAGGTGCAGTATGACATGGTTTATGTTCGAATATGAGAGAGTAGGATAGAATGGAGTGCAATACAAGATATAGAAAAGGTTATATTAACATACAGCAGAGTATATCAAAATATGGTACATTATGGTAGGATATTGTAATGTAATGTGATGTAATATACCAGAGTATCACGCTTATGAGTATACTATGCGATGCTATACTATGCTATGCTACATAGTACTGTAATATGCTGTACTATGCTGCACAGTACCATACTATGATATGACCAGGGTCAGAAAATGCTGGTATATAATCTCATGTAAGATGACACCGTACGACATATCATGACTGCGTGTGGTAGATTACGATATCGTGCAGTATCGCAAATTACACATAACACCTTTTATTATGACAGGGTATGAAAAGGTGTGAAATTGCATATATATATATATATATACATATATATATATATATTACATATACAGGTTGTAACTCTTGTAACACGAGACATTACAGTGTTATGTACGATGCAATGCAGCAAAATACAGTACACTACCATAAAACGCAGCATAATATGACGTGATACAGTGTAGCACAATTTTTGATACAACATACAAAGGTGCAAAGTAACACAGTGCAATGCGAAACAACGCAGTCAATGCAATTTGATACAGTATACCGACAATACAAGACACTATTCTACGGTCCAATCTAATGCAATACAATATACTGAAATGGAATACAATACAATACACTGCAATTCAACCATACATTGTTAGTCCTCGGTTCTGAGATGGTTGCGCAAGTGTCTGCCGAGGATTGGGATCCGTCGTACCACAATGCGGACGAGGTCCACAAAAAGTGGGGGCACTTGCTGCGGCTGGAGTCGCCGGACAGGCTCATCTTCACCCACCATCAGGTCTCCAAGACTTTCAGGACTGCCCGGATTTCTACCTTCCCTATACATGCAGTGCAGTGCATGTGAAGCTGAGGCTGAAGGCAGCACTTCAGGACGATTCGAAACCGGACGTTCCGGCCAATGCAGTCAGATATAAATTCATGCCTATCTCTCTCTCTCTCTTTCTACATATATTCCCCAAGCAGGGTGATGACTCGTTAATGGTTGAAACCCTGAAACGTTGCTACTTGACAAGTCATACGAGAGACTGTAAGTGCGGATCCCGCACAAGCAAGCCGCAGGAATGGGCCTCACAGAGGGCAGCCCCTGCAGCGTTTGCTCTCCGATCTGGAGGGGGGCGTCCTGGAAGCCCAGGACCTCACAGCCCTGGTAGGCCGGGTTGTGTTCGGGGTATTCGTGGGCTTTAGACATAGACTCAGGCGGAGGTTTTAAGGGTTGAGGGCGTTGAGGGTACAAGGATTCTCGTGCTGGTGTTAAGAGACTTAGCTTAGGGCCGAGGCTGAGGGATTAGGCAAAATCCAATGAAAGCAGGCTGGGTTTTCCGGCGGTGAGGAGTCATGACTCGCGTGTAGGTGCTCAGGGATTGAAAGTTTGGGTTTCATGGATGATGTATTCTTCAAGCTCCATGAACTCCATGGCTTCTCAGCATAGTCCAATGCTACGGTGATCAGTTCTGTGGCAACCCGACCATTGATTCGTCTGAGAGCACAGAGTTCTTGAGATGTAATTTGCGAGGTCAAGCAGCTCCCTTTCTCTTAGCATTGAGCCTCATACGGGTTCCGTTCGCCTACATCAACCACAGGGGACGTCCTGCAAGTTTCACCCTTGAATTCTGAATATATCCAGGAGACAAAAGCGAGAAACAACCAGTATCAGCTGGGTATGTGTGTGTGTGGGTGCGCGGGTGTGTGTGTGTGTGTGGGCCGAACTACTTGCTTTGGAGATTGCGCCTCGCCTTGAAGCAGGTAGACGTTCCCTCCTCCTCCCGCTTCCTCCGAGTTTCCTCGCTCATGTCGCTGTTTCTGTGCCTTGTGAGCCTTACTGGTGGCAGTGGCGCTGCTTTAGCACCGGAGGTGGCCTTACCTGTGGGGCGCGTGCAAGGTGTTCAGGAGGGCAACGTCCGCGCCTTTCGCGGCATCCCCTATGCCGAGGCACCGCTCGGGCCTCTGCGCTGGCGCCCCCCCGTGGCCTTCAAACCCTGGCAGGGCACCAGGGATGCCTCGAAGTATGGGAAGCCCTGCCTGCAATCCTTTGGAGGCAGCGAGGATTGTCTCTACTTGAATGTCTACGCACCAGACAATCTGACCAATACATCACGAGCCCCTTGCCTGGTATGGATCCATGGCGGTGGCTTTGAGTTTGGTTCTGGTGGCGACATGTACAACGGGACCAATATGGTGAGCTTTCTCCACTCCCAGGACAGTCCTGTTGTACTTGTCACGATGAACTACCGGCTGGGAGTCTTCGGTTTCCTCGGCAGCGATTTATTGCGCGAGCGTGATCCCCTTCGATCAACCGGCAACTACGGAATCCAGGATCAGCGCATGGCGCTGCGTTGGGTGAAAGACAACATCCTGGCCTTGGGGGGTGATCCTAGCAAGGTGATGATCTACGGGCAGTCTGCTGGTGCATGCAGCGTGTCCTCACACATGCTGATGCCTGGATCCTACGGTCTCTACGCGCGGGCTATCATGGAGTCTGGCGGATTTTCCGGGTGGTGCGCCCAGCCGATGAAGACCAGTGAGTTTTGGTTCCAGAAGCTCATGGAGCACACCAAGTGTGACACCACGGACTGCCTCGTTCAGCTGTCATCGCAAGAGCTCATCTCAGCGTACTTGGCAATCCCAGACGGCCGTTGCTGCCGGCAGATTGTTGGGTATCCCTTCATTCCGTGGGCCCCGACCATTGATGGCATCGAACTCAAGGGCCACTCAATGGACCTGTTGAAGCAGGGTAAGGTGAACAAGGTTCCGATGGTCATGGGAACGGCACTTGATGATGCTGCCGGCTTCTTCACAAACCACAGCCTTAGCACGGAGGACCTGGACACGCTATTCGATAAGTACGAGTCGCGTGCGGCTTCGAAGCCATACCTGTCTGAAGCCCATGCAACTTTGCAAAACTATAGCAATGCTTGGTGGGCTGCGGAGCGGGCTGTGACTGACCAGAACTTTTTCTGCCCAACGCATTTCGCGAGCCGTACATTGTCAAATGCAACACAGACATTCCAGTATGTGCTTGCGCACTCCACTACTACTGCCCCAGTCGTCCAGCACGGTGACGAGATCCCCCTTGTGTTCATGAACCTGCCTCGTACTGCGTCTCCTGAGGAGAAGCAGTTGGCGGCAGAGATGGCCACGTCCTGGTATCGCATGGCGTTGTCGGGCAGCCCCGGCGGGGAGCTGCCATGGCCCAGGCAGACACCTCAGCTCGCCCCCCTCTTGAAGTTCCAGGTTTCCTCGGAGGGTGGCAGCCAGGTGATGGATTCTAATTACCGGGATGCCCTATGCGCCTTTATGCTTCAATGGCTGGACAAAGCCATTCATGTGGCTGAAGGGTCTCAAGAAACGCACGAAGTTGTGATTTGATGCGCTCTTCTACAGCATGTTGGGGCATCTTTTCGAGTCGCCTCCGCTTCAGGGCCTGCTAAGTCAGTCTTGGCGCTCGCTGCGGGGCGCCTCTCTCTTCGTGGTTTCCTTAGCCACTCCAAACAGTTGGCTTCTGGTTTCCTCGATTATGTGGCCCTCACATGCGGGGCCGCAAGAGTTGGAAAAACCAAGATCCGCAGCAGTGTTTGTCCAACGCCCATTTTCAGATCTTCAACTTCAAGCTCGAGCTTGCTGCTCACCCTCCCTTTCTATTCCTTGGCCCGAGACCGGCCGAAGGCGTTCAGCAAGACGGCAAGCTGCACGTGATGTGCGGAAATCGTCGCTTGACAGTGCCGCCTGGTCATCGACATGAGTTCTGTGTGGGGCTTAGGAGTTAGGGTGCAGAGGCTCGTGGGTTTAGGCTAAAGGTTGCTTGACACATCTATTCAAACCTGGCGCTTTCAGAACATGGGTTCCGTCTTGCATGGTTTGCCCTCGGCCGAGGGCTTGTTCGTGACCACAGAGCACATGTATGGCTTCGTGCAAGCACTACTGTGATTGCTGACCGCTCCAGGCCAGTGATCGAGCCTAAACCCGCAACCCGTAGCCTGAGATGCCCCCACCACACAAGCGGCGAGGTGCACATGCTTTTGTTTTGTGGTTTAGACGTTCTCGGCTTGGGTTCAAGACTTCACCCGAAGCCGAGTGGAATCTGGCGTTCGCTGCAGCTGAGGCTGAAGCAGTACATGAGGAGCCTGAGGGAGGTGGGAGCGGTGGTTGCACGCTTTGGTTTTCCTATTTTCCTGCACCCCGATATGCGGAGGGAGAGCCTGCTACACAATTCCCTGACAGAGGCTAAATCAGCAACTGGAGCCGTTGATGATAGAGGTTTCCTTCGTTCCACGGCTGCGCACGTGGAAAGATAATTCGGTCATCCGTCTCATCGCATGGAGGTGGGCGACGAGAACACTGCCGATAACCTGATTCTTGGATTGGTTGGTTGCATGATGCAGTAGGTAGGATAGACGGTTGCTCCGTGGTAGCAGGCAATGCGGTTGTTGCAGGGCAGCAAGAAGGCCAAGCGCAAAACTGGCATAGTAAGACACACGCTACCGTGATGTCAAGCGGTTGTTACAGCAATATGGGAGATTAAGAAAATTAGGGTACCGTATTTTGGGGTCCTTATAATAGGGATCCTATTATTTAGGGTACCATATTAGGGTCCCCTATTTTCGGAAACCCCATATGTTGCACAGCATCATGTCAGACCACCTGGTCTTGCATGATCGTGCACAACTTGACACAAGAAAGTGCAGTCTTGTACCGGCATGTCGCAGTCAAACGGGGTTGTGCAAGGGTGCACACCTGTCGCCTGTTCTGCTTTGTGGCTACAGTTTCGAGACCGATGCGTCCTGAAAACCAGACCCGAGAGGAGACCCGAACCCGAAGCCTGAGCTGCTGAGCCTCCGATACATGCATACTGTTTGCGAAGCATCTCATTGCCCCATCTCCCCGGCGCCAAACCTAAAGTAACCCGCTGACAAAAAAGCTGCAGTCTTGCCTTCAAGGAGGGTGCACGTGTACGTGCACAAGTTCGAGGACATGCCGAAAGGCATCCAGGCGAAGTTCGTGACCTGCCGTGATTCTGAAAATGACAATCATACACCCTGAAATCTCAGCTAGGGGCGGACTTAGTGTTCATGTTTCAGATTTTGTACGTAGGATAAAAGACCTTGCTAGAACTGAATGAGGTTCATGTGCTTGCGTAAACGGAGTATGCTGCTGGAGTAGAACACACCATCCCTGTAGCTGGACCCTGAGAATTGAGATAGTGTTACATGCAATAGCCATGCCAAGCTGGAGGTTCGTGGAGAAGTGAATGAGCTCTAACTTGCCTCCGAATTTGGACACGGGATGAATAGGATGGAAGGCCCTCTGACCCAAAATCATTGAACCTTGTGCCCCGAATCTTAAGGTTCGCATGTGGGGGTTTCCGATAATTAGGGGTACCTTATTGTGGGGTCCTTATATTAAGGATCCTATTATTTGGGGTACTATATTAGGGTCCCCTATTTTCAGAAACCCCCATGTCGTTCTTTCTTCAGAGTTTCGTGGAGTTCGTTGGAAGGAAAGGGATCGTGCAGGTCCACGAAGTGGCCGAAGCCCCTCGCAACAGCTGGTGTTTCTATGTCGCTCAGGATCCGATATGATCCGACCACATAGCGCATTTGGGGTTTAGGAATTACAATTCTTCGGAAGATGCAGCCTCAGCCCTAACCCTGAATCCTGAAGCTTAAACTTGACACTAAAATCTGAACCCAAAGTCCTAAACCCTAAACCCTAACCCCTAACCCTATGAACCCCCAAACAGAAGCCCAAAGCCGAGATAGAAGCCTCCTCAACGGTGGACGGTGCACAGCCTGGCTTCTTCCCTCCGCGTTGCCCGGCCGACCAAGAGGTCGCCTCTTCAGCTGTCATTTAGGGTGTTTTAGGGCTTTAGGGTTTAGGGTTTAGGGTTAAGATTTGATTGTGGTTGAGGGTTCATTTGGGTTTAGGGTTTCGGGGTTTAGTGTATTTTGGTTGTTTTAGGGTTTAGGTAGGGCGTATTTCGCCCTTCACTTTGGCCGACGCTTCTGTGAGGCTCCTAAGACGTGTTGAGGCCGACCGTGAGTCTCCAAAGAAGTCGAAGCCAGGAGATCAAAGATTTCAGATGTTCTACCTGGCTCCATCTGCTGGAACTTACCCTGATCAGAAGAACACGTAAGCAAATATAGTGAAGACGATGAAGAAGATGATTGAACAGAAAAGCTCGCAGTTTCCACCTTAAACCATCCGCTAGAGAACTCTCGAGCTCTGTGCAAACTGCCGATTTTCCATCATGCGACATCTCTCACAGCCTGTTTGTTGCGTAAGCAGACCGAAGCATGAACGCCACGTGAGCCTTCTGCTGTCAGATCAAGAATCCAGAGGGCCCTATTCTACTATGAATCGGTATTTCTTCTCTGTAACCAAGGTGATTCTCCGCGAGTGGTCCTTCCGCGCCATTCGGGAGGCCGGCCCGTGCTGATGTGGCGGTGATGCACACGACGATGACGACGGGCAGGGTGATGATCATGATGACTGCGGTGCTGGTGATGCGGTGACTGCGAAGAGCATTTTCAAACACCAGCATTGAAGCTTCGACAGTACCACTGACGAGTTCGGGAAGCTTCCTTTCGATCCCAGAGCACCTGGGCCCGTGGCCTGGCCTGCGAAGGGGAACTGAACAAGTGTATCTGAAGCTACCACCGAAGCCCTGAGAGGCGATCAGGTTGTCAATGGGGGGGCACGGGCGCCGGGCGGTAAAGGCCCCTCGGCGGCAGACACGTGGACACGATGACCGGTGATGAAAATGAGGGTGCTGATGATGATGTTGATGTTGATGATGAAGATGAGGAGGACGTGTGAAAGATGACCGTGAGGACATCATCCGCACTGGCTCGTTGCAGTCTCCAGAGTGTCCACAGGCAGGTTGTGCTTTCAAACCTACTATGATACTAGCTTGGCACGTCATACCATTCCTTCTACTCAGGAGGTACACACTGTTCGCAGTGCCGAGTCCTTCATTGGTAAGGCATCTTGTTCTGACCATCTTGTTGGTACTGGGTGCGCTTGCAGGAAATGAATATACCTGTCCACGAGCATGTGAGCCCCGTCGCCCAAGCAGTCCAGCCGTCGTGGCTTGCGTGTCTACAGACATACAAGTGCTAAAGCCTTGTCACACCCAAAAAATCTAGAAGAACCCTAAAACCTCGTGGAACAAGAAGCTCTTGTAAGAGAGGCTCGGTCTGAGCCTTCAAAGTCTTCGGTCCCAGAGCTTCCGAGGCTCATCTGGCGCTGTGGCCGGAGCACCATCACCATCGCCACACGGGAGTGTAGGTGGCCAAGCCTGTTTGCACCGAGAGTCTCATAGGAAGTAGGGTTCCTTAGCTCGTACGACCCCCAAAACCCAAAAAATACGCACTCATGGAAAGCTGAGGCAAATTGCACTTCGTATCATTCGTTCTGAGAGTAGTTAAGGCGGCGCATGCGCAAACTCACCCGCGAATGGTCTTCTTGTTTTGCCCTCTACTTGCCCGGAAGCCTGTGCCGCAGACCTGAAACCGTAGATCTTAGACCCCAAGCCCCTTTGCAAAAGAAATGCGGAACATGAATGGAATCCCAAACAGACTCCCTGCTTTTCGCATCGGAAGAGCCTTTTGGTGTTTCGAGGCGCCCACTTCTCCACCGCCACGCCGGCAGAAGGAGCCAGAAGTCGCTTCGCAGAAAAGGGAAGGCCCCACAACAAAGGCTTTAGGGTTTAGGGTCTAGGGTTTAGGGCTCAGGGCTTTGGGTTAGAGTTTAGGGTTTAGGGCTCAGGGCTTTGGGTTTAGGGTTTAGGGCTTAGGGTTTAGGGATAGGGCTTTGGGTTTAATAAATCCATACAAGCCTAGGACCTTGAGAAAAGCTCAAGACCCGGGTCCGAAACCATGGGCCCAGGCCGAAAATCCTAAACACTCACACCCTGAGTCCCTGAGCCTGGAACCCTGCATCCTTGAGCCTCCAACCCTTATTGCGGCCTCACATCTCTAGGCATAAAGCCCCAAATCCTCAAGCTCGAAGTCGGTTTCAGCAGAAGTTCTCGGATTCGCTGTGAGGTTTCAGGTTTTAGAGCTCTTCGAGTTTAGGTTAGAGAGTTTTGGCTTGTCGAGTTTAGGTTACAGAGCTTTGGGTTCGGTTCACTATTCGAAAAACCGAAAAAGATGACCGGACAGGTTTAGTCGTTTGCCGATTTGCAGGTTTTGGATTTGGGGTCAACTCCGGAACCAGTTCGAGACTCCAAGAGACCCTACACCCCCTGTCAATTCCTAGGTCTCCCGATCCACTGCTCGCAGGTTCACAAGTAGTTAGAAGTGGTACCACGATTATCCGTACCTTGCTGGGAGTTGTTCTTTGGCTTTCCTGCTTTCAGCGCGACATACGAAGCTCCCTGAACCTCCATAACCCTTTGCAAAGTCGATGGTGTATGTCTGTATGGACGGCGAAGGTATGCACACTGCGAGCAGCATATGTCGATGCATGCATATCTATCTATCTATCTATCTATCTATCTATCGATCTATCCATCCATCCATCCATCCATCTATCTATCTATCTATCTGTCTATCTATCTATCTACCTATCCATCTGGTCACAAACAAACGCACCCACACACACACACACACATGTATATATATATATATATGTGACACATACGGTTGTTATGTTTACACATACATACATTTATGTGTACATATATACACACATACATATGGATGGACGGACGGACGTATGTATGTATGTATGCATGTATGCATGCATGTATGTTTGTATGTATGCGTTTATGTATGCGCACAGACAGATAGGCACAACAGTGAAACTGAAATCTCAGTACCCACGGCGCCATACCAAAAACTTAAGCAGCTTACCTTGAACCGTATCTAGGGTCCCTACAATGTCAGGGATAAAACCTATCTAGCTACACTAGACACCTGTTTGCCGTACGAATACGTATCATAAGACGCTATACGCCCTGATAGTGCACTGGAGCTTTCGTATTGAGGGGTCTTGGGCTCTCTGGGCACCCCAGGTAAGGAAGAGAAGGAGGAGGAAGAGGAGGAGAGCGCACTCGCAGGCCGGAGAAATAGGGTTTAGGGTTTAGGGCCGTTTAGGGTTGGGTGCAGGGTTTCGAGGGATTGAGGTTCAGGATTTTGGGTTTGGGATCTAGCGGCATCTAGCGCTCAAAACTCAAGTTGTTAGATTTCCGAGTGGGTTTCAGCTTCAGATGGACTGGCTTTAGATTAGAATGCAGGGTTGCGTTTGTGTGTCTTGAGCCGGTGGGGGGTTGGCTCTGTCAACATCTTTGAAGCGCTATCCTGAGAATGGCCCACCCTGAACGAGTGAAACACCGTAATGTGATCAGCACATACTATAGTTACTATAGTTTGTATTCATTCCGTAGACATGCAGAAAAAGAAGATCATCATCAGACTCGAGGAACTCTTGCAGGGCAAGGTTTAGCGCAGCAGCGTGATAGATGGTATGAAGTTTGGCATTAATACTAAGAATACTAATTTCAGTAATAGCAATGGTCATCATAATATATGAATGGTAATAGTAGCAATACCAGCCAGTAATAATGATGATAAGAATAGTAATATTTGGTGTACTGTATAAACTCTGAAACTTTGCAGCAGTCGACAAGACAGATGACTAGGTAGGCTGCATCTCCTTTAGTGTCTCTCAGTGTGGCTTAGAAGCCAACGCCACTTCTTTTCATGGCAAGGTGAAAGATGTTATCGAAAATGCAGGTAGATTGGCTTTTGGATCCAGCCAATCTGCATGTTTGCGAACATCGTGCAGCCTGCCATTGATTGAACTCTTGCTTGGGAACGACAAGTCGGTACGTGCAATGGTTGGAAAACCCTGAACCCGAAGCCCTGGACGATGGATTCGTTGATGCTTACCGCTCCCTAACCTCAAAACCTCGAAACCCAAAACCCTCAACCCCAAAATGGAGGTCAGAACATTAGAAATCATCATGCCCTCTAGTGATACTACAATTTGACCCCCAAGACCCTGTTTGATCCACTAAGGCCCCCATATTATAGCGGCTTCTTTCGAGGATCGCGGATGAAACTCTTCGAGGGCACCTGGCAAGATCGCGCTGGCTGCATCTACCGCATTCTGCAGACCTCGGCGCCCTGGCGCTCCCAGGACGAGGGGGGGCGTTTTGGTTTCAGGCCTTTGGGGCCTTTGGGGTTTAGGGCTTATTTTGGGTTTTGGGTTTAGGGTTTATTTGGGGTTTCGGGTTTGAGGTTTATTTGGGGTTTTGGGTTTAGGGTTTATTTGGGGTTTCGGGTCTAAGTTTTATTTGGGGTTTTGTGTTTAGGGTTTGCGAGGGTGTAGAGAAGCAGGTCTCTAGACCATTAAGCCACGAGCTCCAAGCTAACAATCCGAACTCACACCTTCGAACCTTTACTTTAAGGAAACCTCAAAACCTTGAGCTCACAGAAAGTAAATGACATTGTGTAGGAATCCTTATAGCAAACATCACCCTAACCTGGTAGTACCCTTGCAGCACCCCTTTCGTACCAATCGTTACATTACCCTCAAAAACCTTTACATTAGTATGGTAACCGTTATCTTGACTTGGGTTTAACCCTTATAGTATTTTCGTAGCCATTAAATTACCTTGAGAGTAACCCTCATAGTATTGTAGTAAGAGTTACTGTACCGTTACAGTAACCCTTATGGTGCTCGTATGGTAGCGGAATAGCAGCCTTAAAGGCACCCTGGGCCCTTCACATCTTTTCCAGGGCCACTACATCGTGGAAAAGTACTCTGGTACCGGTCGGGCCAACTATTGTGACTGGGTCGCACCAGGTTAAGGTTCTAGGTTTCCTTGAGGCTTGGGTTTCTTCAGGAAGAGTAGACCATATCCATTGGCAACATCTGCTACGAAGCGATGATCTGGACGGTTCTTGCTACTGCTGTGTTTTTGAGGCTGCCAGGTAGCGCTTCAGTATTCGATCTTGGGGTATTGCTCACGATGTTGGAGCCTGTAAAGGGTTCCTGGGCCCTGGGCGGCAAAGTTTGTAGCAAGAGCTGGTTTCTGCGACGATCCCGTAGGAGACGAAGGTCCACTTCTTTGTTGCAAGCGCGACAGTTGTTTGTTGCAAAGCTGGATTGGCAAGGGTTTGCCTTGCAGTGGGCCACCGGCCTGCTTTGGGATTGTTGGACTTCCTATCCCTTATCTAGCATAGTTCGCAGCCTGCGATACCAAGACCGGCACTAATGAGAATCACCATAGCGACAGGCATTGGGAGCTAAGCACATCGGCTGGTTCGCCCTATCCCTCGCCTCAACATCCACAATTTGCGCAACACTCAAATATACTATACTGTACTATGTAGAATATATTACAGTATACTATAGTATTATATCTATCTATATATATATATATTATACTATAATATACTAGCCAAAACTCTTCTCATCTCCCCCGTCAGGTCTGAGCTTCAGGGACGGCCGCGTCTGGTGGGGGGTCCAGCGGTACTGGGCGCGCTGGGACGGCGACTTCATCTGCTGGCTTCTTGGATGTTAGGGTATTGCGGTCAGGGTCGACATCGATTGAAGGTTTGAGGGTTCAGGTCTGCGGGCTTCGAGGACAAAAGCTCTAAGATTCGCGGGGTTCCGTGGGGTGTAAAAAGCAAGCCGTGGACCCTGCTTGCACCGACATTCGAATCCCGGAACGATCGAGGTACGACTCACACCAGCGAGACTCTCTGGCTTTCTCCTGGAAGCGGGTGGCAGACCTCCAAGGCCCCTCGTCCGGATCAGAACCCAGCCTTCTTGGGTTTGGTGTTTCTGCCTGTTGTAATATAGGGGCCTTACTAATTAGAATAGGGTTTTGGGGCACATTATACTATAACAATAACAAGGAAACCCTAAAATAGTACAGGTACTTAAGGCCCCTGTATTGTCCGTTTTGTCGGGGACTTGGGCACTAATCCCTAGACCCTGCAGCCGTGACCTCCAAACACCAAGCGGTGCCTGTTTTTGCTGGTACACACGCGGCCTTAGGGTTGAGGGTTTAGGGTTTAGGGTTTAGGTGGCGCGCGTTTTTGGGGTACACTCCCGAATAGCCTTGCTGCTGGGCGGCTGCCTCTGGGGCGCACCTCTCGCCTTGCTTGCAGGAGGACTGTTGGGAGGCGGTGCACGATTTTTCTGTACACCCGTCCGTGACCTTGCCATTGGAGGACGGCGCGCGCTTCTGGGGTAATTTCCTGGCCTTAGGGCTGCTGGGAGGGCGCCGGGCTCTTCTGGGACGCGCTTGAGACAGGGCGACTGGCGATGCGTTATCGACAAATAGCGCACGCCGTATCCAACTTCCAGCGAGTTCATCCAGCAACACAACTATGTTCTCCACCAAAGCTGCTGCTTCTGTCCGGTTCCATGCATTCCCAGAAAGAAGAAAGGCAATCACACTAGAGCTCTAGATTTTACGACATGTCCTACCCAAGTCCCGAAGCCCTGAAACCCGGAAACATACGCATGCTTCATCTAGAGTATCTATTGGCCAACAACGACCCCACTAAAGTCAGCACAAGCGAGCTCCGTCTTAGGATTGCTCCTTACAGAAACTTCGGCCCCAAAAACCCGGCAGGCATCAGGTTCAGATTCACCTTGCCCGAACCCTCTCGGCCCAGGCACCCTTCAGTCACCGAGATGAACGATCTCGTGCAGAGCTTCAAGAAGTGGAGACACGGTGCAGGGCGCAGGGCGACGAATCTTTACGTTTCCAGGCGAAGATCTGCCTGCCGTCGCGTGGAGCTCGGACAGATGAAGGCAGCTGCACAATCAGGGCTTAGGGTTTGCGGATTAAGATCTACTGTAGTTTCGGATTAAGGGATTGGGGTTTGGGGTCATCAGCTGTTTCTGGCAAAGCCGGATGCCGGCATAGTTGCCGGAATTGAAAGAGGCTGGAACTTCCACCTCTAGCTCGTGCTCCTTTTCCTTGTGGTGTCCTTTAACATGAGACGAAGCTACAATTGTAGTCGCGGTTGGGTTGAAGGTTTCGCAAGTCGAAACTCGTCCTCCCGAACTCGAAGGCAGATGCAATAGTTTAAGTATCGACGTAGGAGCTGTAGAAGGACAATGGTCTGGGGCCCAGGCTTTGTATTGTAAGTTTGTTGTTGTCTTTGCAGCTTTTTTCTTGCCCAGATGCCGTCGCATAGATATTGTTTGTAGTTTTTATTGTGCACATTTTGCCCACACGCAGTCTCTAGACCTGGAAGCCACTGTGACCCTCATGCCCTCATGCTTGAACAGCAGCCAATAGAATGTCTTAGATACGTTCGCTCATGTATTGAGAGGGCCTTGTTTGAACAATCTCTAGATGAAGATCCGTAGCTTTCAACTACGATTTTCATTAACCAACTGAGAAAAACGAATCTAGATTCTAGAAATAAAATGAATAAAGAAATTTGTCTTTTTTGTTTCTCATCGATTCATTGCTTCGTTCTCTGAAGTGAAATCTAATAGATATGTCTGTGCACAAGGATATTACTGGAAATTTCTAGATATTAATCGTATTGAATTTTTGGTAAGGTATTTTCTAGATGGTCTGAGATATTTTGATCGATACGATTATACTATTAATATTATGATATATTTCAAGAAAGATTTTAATCATATGAGATCATATGAAATAGAATATTATGGAAATGGCTAGAATTAGGATTAAAAGTCGTCGAAATTCTTCTCTTTCTCTCGTTCTTGTATCGTAGGATAAATATGATCGATTTTTGATGATGCACAAAAGCCCTCATGAAGTTTGAAAGCTCTTGATTCAGAAGCTGTAACCTGGCTGTGGAGCAGTTGGAGTTTTAGCGATGCCCTGAAAAACGTTTCGGCCTAAAGGCGGCTGCGGTAGGAAAGCCTTGGGCCACAGCATAGCTTTTGCAGCACTTATTTGTACAACCCCAAGTGTAGCATTGACGTTGCTGGTGTGTAAAAGCAGGGGACCAATTCGTTGTGCCGCCATGGACTCGTCTACTGGTGAGCCTAATTATGATTCTGCCTTGCCTCCTCAACCTGTAGAAGCTCGACCTCAGCATCATGAGGTTATGAGCCCAAGTACTGCGGGCGCGGCTGCTGCAGCTGGTGCTGAGGGCGCACAGGGAGCGGGCGAGCAGGTGGCGGTCAGAACAATGGCTGTCGCGATGTCTGCAGCGAGTGGGTCTCCTTCAGGGAATCCCTGGCTGCCGGAGACAATGGTTGAGCAAGTGCACCACGGACAAAACTGGGGAATGCAGATGGAGGGTTTCCAAGAAGCTCAGAATGCTGCTCAGGCGTCGTGGTCGGTTGTAGCTACAAGAAGGACTATGCCTTTGTGGATTCAGCGGCTTGGCGCTTTCTTTCAGGAGGTTAGATCGCACCAGCAGAATGGTCACACAGTGTGGCCTTCCCCTATGGCTACGCCCCCGCGAAGACAGCTGGCGTCGCCAATGACGGATCCTGGGCCTACAGCAGAGGCTCCTTTGTTCGACAGGCGGCAGACGGAGCAGGCACGGCAGATGGAGCGTCGTGCCCCTCTGTTGTATGGAGCCACCGCGGCCGCTCAACAGGAAGGAAGCTCTGCGGGGAGCAACTATGAAACGGTTCAAGAAGAGGTTCGAAGACAGCTGGGTGGCGTGATCAGTCAGCTGGAGGCCTCTCGCCGCGAGGCGAGTGAGCTGCGTGACCAAGTGGCCGCTCTTCAACAACTCCGTCCTGATGGAGAGCGTGCAGTTATGAGGGAGCCTACAGGTCCACCACAAAGCCTTGGAGGATATCTACATGCGAGTGCAGCTGCAACAGGCCAAGGAGCATCCCAGCAGGTACCTCCTATGCCAAAGGGATCGGGCTTGCAAGCAGGTTCCACTATGCCAATGGGATCGGGCTTACAAGCAGGTTCTACTATGCCAATGGGATCGGGCTTACAAGCAGGTTCTACTATGTTAACGGGATCGGGCCTGCAAGCAGGATCTACTATGCCACCGGGATCGGGCTTGCATGCAGGTGCTACTATGCCATCGGGATCACTTCAGCAATTAGGACCGTCTGCGCCAGGACCGCCCAGCTAGACTTTGCCGGGGGTGACGAGTGCCCAGGGTTCATCTACGGTGCCGCCCGGCGGAGCGGGAGCAACAACTGGAGCATCGTTTACTACAGGGCTTGGAGAAGGTGATCAAGGGAACGAAGCCTGAGGAGATTTCCAAGTCTATGGTGGATGCACCAAAATTGCCAGAGGTTACGGAAACAAGCGCTGTGGACTTTGGTGATTGGCTGCACTGTGTGGAGAATGTCATGGGTGACCTCAGCGCGAACAGTGCGGAATGGTGGAAGGGTGTGATAGAAGATGCAATGGACTACTACAAGAAGTACCAAGAGGCGGACCAGTTTGGGCGTCTGGCTCTGAAGCCGGAACCCAGCGTCGATGCAGTGGACCCAAAATGGTCGCGTGTTGACAGGAGAGGGGCCAGCATTTTGTTGGCCTCAACGCCGGAAGTGGTGGCAGCAAGAGCAAGGACCACTCTGGAAATCCTCGCAAGGCTCATGATCGTCTACAGGCCAGGGAGCGCTACAGAAAAATTAATGCTGCTTCGCAAGGTGGAGTCGCCCGAACCGGCTACGACAGTGCAAGAGGCTATAGTAGCGTTGCGCCAGTGGTCCAGGTTCTACCAGAGGGCCAAGGATCTGGGTTTGGCGATACCAGACCCCAGCATTTTGTTGAGGTCCCTGGAAGGCATGGTTAAGCGCCCTGTCAGCGAGCACAACGACATCGCTTTCCGTATGAACCTGATCAGGTACCATCTCCGTGTGGACTTTGCCCCCAGTGAAATGAATATCCTAGCTATCCACCGTGCCTATCTGGCTGAGTTTGAGCAGCTTGGCTATAAGAGGGGCAACAAGGTCAAGGACGAGCCGAGTGGACAAACACAGGCTCGAATTAGGGCCGTGGAAGCACCTCCGGGATCTATACCTATGCCGAGCTCTACACCAAAGAACGGCGCTAACAAACCGTGCAGGTTCTTCTTATTAGACGAAGGCTGCCGGAGAGGAAAGGCCTGCAAGTTTGAGCACCCCAAGTTGAGTATGAACGATTCGCCTCAGTCGTCTACGGGGGGACCGGCAACAAGAAGGGCAATGCTTAGAAAGGCCAAGTCCCGAGGGGGAATGATATTGGCCAAAGTAGTCCGGGCACAGAACAGTCATTTTCTACGACTATGGCAACAGATGGACCGGCTACAACCGAGGCGCCAGTTCAGGGGGTCCCGGTCGAGCAGCTCATTGAGGACGCTCAGAAGCTGATGAAGGCTTTCATGGAGCAGAAGAGCGGCCCCATTGTGCGGGTGTTCAGGGTGGATGAGGTTTAGCGAAGCGCTGATGGTTCATCTCCAGCGTTGAAGGAGCTACTCAGGCAGGAAGAGAACTTCGGCAGATTGTGCCAGATGGGGCTTCTTGACTCAGGCGCTACGCATCCATTGAGAGCAAAGACAGCGGGTGATATACCAGCAGGGCTTGGCAGCGTGAGTGTGACGTTGGCAGGTGAGACCAGAGTGACGATGGACCAGAACCGGGCCGGCACGATCTTGGGAGATGAGGGTACACAACCCATCGTCCCATTGGGGACACTGGTGAAGGCGCTGGGATATGAGTTCGTATGGGACAAAAGAGGTTGTCGTCTGAGGCACCCAACCAAGAAGGAGGTCAAGGTCTACAGAAAGTCTACGTGCCCCGAGGTTTCGCAGTGTGATGCATTTCGGCTTATTGCAGAGCTAGAAGAAGCGGAGCTGACCGATACTCGCTGGCTAAGCTCAAGGCGTCCATCTGTGCGTCCAAGACCTACAAGGAGCGGGAGTGGACCGACAACGTGAGGGACTACATGCTCCCAGGAACCCTTGAAGATGGTTTGAGAGTTGTTATGGGAGCACCGTTTATGAACCATGTACCTATGGAGGATCAGCTCAAGGTTGCTGTGGACATCCCTACCACGGAGCAGGACGCTTGGAAGTGGATGAAGAGTTTTCCCCTCAACCGCTCAAGGCGCCGACAGTTGTGGCAGGCGCAACAGTGGACAGTGCACTTGTTTTCGGGCAATGGGGTCAAAAACGACCCTCTCCGTGATCTGCCGGGCTTGCTGGAGATTGACAGCAAGAAGGGGTGGGATCTAAAGAATGAGAAGATCTATGGTGTTCTTTTTTGGGCAGCCAAGGAGGGACGGATCAAGCACGTCTTTGGTGGCCCTCCTGGAGCGATCTACTCACCTCTACGCTTCAGGCAGAATGGAGAGTCGGGGCCCAGGGCAGTGAGGTCAATGCATGAACCATGGGGGCTCAAGGAGGGACTGGGGGTGGAAGATGAAGCCCGGGTTAGAAATGAGAACCAAGCGCTGTTCAAGATGATTTGGCTCTGGCTATGCGCGGAGGCGGCGATCGAGAACCAAGAGTCTGGAGGGGACCCCAAGCTTTGCATGCCAGAGGGACCCCATCGCGATGCTTGTGTGTCTGTATGGAGCACGGAGTTTATGAGGCGGTTCGTTGAGGAGATGGGCATGGTCAAGTTCCACTTTGAGCAAGGAGCCCTCGGACATGTCATGAGGAGGCCTACGTGTTGTTTGAGCAATTTGGGACTTGGTATCAATGGTCTAAAGGATTCCAGGTGTTGGACCTCAAAGGAGGATGGCCAAGATGTGGACCAGACGATTTGGCCCCATGGTTTTCGAATCACCTTGGCGGACGCTATCCATGAGTGGAACAATGCCCTGAACCGAGTGGTGGTGAAAAAGGCGATGTCAAAGACTGAAATGGTAGAGTGGAAGGCCCATGTGGAATGAGGACATTGGCCTTACAGACGTGACTGCTCGGTGTGCCTAGCAGCCTCAGCTACCCGGCGCCCAGCCAGGCGGGTAGTCCACAGGGATGCCTATGCTATGAGTCTGGATATTGCCGGGCCATTCGCGGATCGCGGCAGAGATGAAGTGAGGGGGAGGAGATACAAGTTTGTTATAGCGGCAACGTACCTCTACTCCAAAGTCAGAGATATTCCGGAGGATGAGCCTTTGGATGAGGAGGAGGGCCTGGACGGGTTTCTAGCCGATGAAGAGGATTCCGAGGTGGAAGAGCTGGACCCGGTCGATGATGGGGAAATGGACGCCCAGGAAGAAGAATGGAAAAAGAAGGTTGAAGGGCTTAAGCAGGCTATGGAAATGCAAATGCTGCGTTTCTGCGTACCTCTGGAGCGTCACACAGGCAAGGAAATTCTGGAATGCATTCAGGACTTATATGTGAAAATAAGGGCGATGGGGCTATCTTTGACTCGCATTCACAGCGATCGGGCAAGGGAGTTCAGAGTCAAGCCGGTGAAGAAGTGGTGTCGGGAGAGGGACATCTACCAGACGTTCATAGAAGGTTTGACGCCTACCCAAAATGCTGTGGCGGAGGCTCATGTGAAGTGGCTCAAGGCTCAAGCTCGAGTACGACTTCAAGCAACAGAGATGGACAAGGAGCTCTGGCCCTGCGCGATGAAGCATGCTTGCCAGGTGCACAATGCCAGGCAACTTGGATTAAAGATTCCAGACCTCAAGTTTGGATCGGTCGTGTGGGTGAAGTCAAAGAAGGACCGTGGACCTTTCGACCCCCGATGGGAGCGTGGAGTCTACATGGGCCCAGCAGATGATGTAAGAGAAGGACATGTTGTTCGTTTGGATGATGGCTTGTGGCTTCGGATATTGCATATGCGTACGGTGAGAAATGATGAGGTCGATGAGGAGGATGAAGCCGAGCACGTGGTGGACCTCATTGAACCTACTCGCCGTGTGAGGTCCAAGACCAAGCTAAGTGACCCTGAGATCCATGCGATGAAGGTCGGCGAACGAAGGGTGTTGGTCGACAGGTTGTTGGCGTCACCTATGTGGGAGTCCAAGGAAGCGAAGGTTGAAAGGCCACAAATGAAGGAGGGCGACGTGTGGGACGGAGCGGCCTACTTAAACTTGGGAGCTTACCAGCATGGTGGGATTACAAGCATCACGGCTGCCACGGAAAGGTTTGCGCAAGAGACGGAGTTGGCGGTTAAGTTGCTTGCGCTGGACCACCCTGACAAGGTCTTCACATCGATCGCCTTGGTAAAGAATGCCTTGATGCCGGTACACAAGGACTCCTTCAACCTCAAGTCCACGGTGAACCTTATTTCCCCACTAAAGACCGCAAAGGGAAGCTACGTCTGGCAAGAAATGAAGCCGGGCGACGAGTTCTACGGCAACTATGCTTCAATGTGGGTTAATGGGAAGGAAGTCCCGGGCCAGAAGTTTAGCATCGAGAAGCCGGTTACTGTAAGACCTGATCGTCTACATGCTCCAATGAAGGGGGACGAGGGAGATCGGATCGTCGCGATCGGCTACACAGTGAGCAAATGGGAAAAGCTTATGGACCATCAGTGGGAGGATCTGAAGGCCCTGGGCTTTACAATGCCGGAGAGAAGTCCGATGCTAAAGATGATGAATGTCAACAACAGAAGGGGCAGACCACCTACTCCGCCGATCCAAAGTTCGGAAGCACCCACAACAGCTCCGCCTACGGGTACTATGACTATGTCAGGAAGAGGGTTCTTGGGACCAGGTTCTTCCAGTGAATCTACGTTGCAAAGGCCGAGTTCAGAAGAGAACATGGATGTTAGCTCAGCGACTCCAGCACCGCAGAGTCTTCAAACGTCTTCGTCGGACTCAGGACCGAGGGCAAGAGAGTATCTGCCGGAGATGGGTGGAGAGCGCTTGGACAGTATGGTTGTTCCAGGTGGACGAATTGAGCTGCGTCTGAGGTGGGCAATCAAGTACTGCCCGGACAATCGGTATGCGGAGGAGGTCGTGATGACTTCTACGCCGTTGCTGCCTTTGGGATATGAGGAGGAGCAGCGAATGAGAAGTCGAGTCACGTGGCTATCGGAGTTTGTGGAAGAGGAGCGACAAATCAGAGCTCGCCAAGCGGAGCGTGGTGAGTATGCCACGCAGAGAGAAAGAGTGCTCTTCTACAAGCTCGATGAAGCCATCGACTACATGAACGAGTTGCTATCTCGGAGCCATCAAGTCCGAGAAGAAGGGAACGTGAACCTCATGGCTCTCAGTGCCACGGTGGAGCCCAGCCTCGAGATTGAGAGTATGCTTCAAGGGCTAACACAGCCCTTGGAAACCGTGCATGGTGTGGAGCTCGCTGAGGTGAAGCGGAATCTTGGTGAGTGGAAGGAAAGCATCCAGAAGGAGTTGTCTACGCTCTTGGACTCCGGTACGCTTCGAACTATTCCTTTGGCGGAGGCCAGACGAAAGGCGCAGGCGGAGGAGATTGTTCTTGTTCCGGCCAAAACGGGACATACAGTCAAGCCACCAAATAGTGGTTCGGAAGGGCTGTTCAAAAGAAAGAGCAGGCTGGACATATGCGGCAATTATGTCAATAGCGATGTGGAGGTCTATACGGCAGCAGCCAATGCGGAGTCGGTTCGGGTTTCCCTGTCGTATGCAGCTAAACAAAAGTGGCATGGAGCCATCACGAACGTCTACGCAGCGTTCACGCTTACGCCCATAGAGGAGTCTAAGGTCAAGTACGCGATCACCGTGCCGAAGGTGGTAGTTGATGTAGGCTGCGTTCCTCCGGACAAGGCGTTCATGGTGGATCGAGTCCTTTATGGACTCAGAGAAGCCCCAAGACTGTGGGGAAGTTTCAGAGACCGCAGGGTGGCCAAAGCACGTTTGCAGATGGGTGGAAAGGACTATATGTTCTTACAAATGGAAACAGATCCAGCGGTGTGGCGCTTGGTGGCTTGTGATGAGATTACAACCACGAAGGCCCTCATGGTGATCTATGTGGATGACGTGATGATATTGGGGCCTAAAGGCCTCATTGAGGGCATCTACAAGTGGATCACTGAAGATGATGACAGTGGGAAGGGTTGGAAGTGCTCAACAATGGAGTGGCTGGGACGCGATCCTGTGAGGTACCTGAGAATGGAGGTCAGAAGGAAGGAGACTGAGGACATCACCAGTTTTCATATTTCTCAGGGGAGCTACGTGCAGGAACTGCTCAAGAGCTATCCGGAGGAGGCAGCACGACCTTCCCAAGTCCCGGCGTCTAGGGAAGTGATGCCAAACGAAGATGAGGAGGAGCGTGTTCTCGCTCCTTGTGATGAGAGCCTTGTAAAGCAAGCACAGAAGATGGCAGGAGAGCTTTTGTGGCTGGTCACCAGGACCCGCCCAGATATTGGGTTCTCGACAGCTCATGTCTGTGCGGCGGCTACCAAAAACCCTCAGGCGGCGATCAAGCTGGCGAAGATGACACTCAGGTACTTTGCAGCCACGCCTGGAATGGGACTTCAGTACAATGGCCAAGGGGTTCCTGTGGAAGCATATTCGGACGCAAGCTTTGCACCTCAAGGAGATCGAAGCTTCGGGTGTGTCACTACGGCGACCTTCGGAAGTTTTGCGGCGTGGAGGATGACCAAGCAACCTACAGTGGTTTTGTCAGCAGCGGAAGCAGAGCTGGTGGAGTTGCTGAATGCCAGCCAGCAAGCAGCAGGAATCCAGGCTTGGGTGAACGAGGTGTCAATAGAAGATCAAGACTATCCCGTGGCCCTTCGAGTTGACAATACAGCTGCATATGGACTGGCAACTACATCGCCAGGTTCGTGGAAGACAAGACACTTGAAGGTAAAAGCCAGTCACTTGAGGATGGAAACTCAGCAAGGACGTGTCAAAGTGATCCACACACCGGGAGATGTGCAGGCAGCAGACATGGGCACAAAGCCGCTGCCGGCCGCACGGCTAGGGGATCTACGACGGCTTTGGGGAATGTGCACGGCCGAGGAGTTCGATCAGGCAGACCAGAAGGTGATCATTGCCAGCCTGAAAGGCCCCGACTACTATGACTTGATGCGGATGTTCATTTGGGTGATGCTACTCTCGAAAGTGCCGGTGAATGAGGCAACGGAGCTATATATCAAGAAGCCCATGGACTATGACGGGAGCATCGAGTTCTACACGCTACTGGTGGTAGCGGGAATTGCGCTCGTGGGCGTGTGGGAGTTATTGAAATGGGTGGCCCACAAATGCTTTGGGGAGGATGATGCTGCTACAAGCAAGGCTAGAAGACTGTTGAAGATACGGAATCAAGCATCCAAGGCTTTGCAGGAGGAGCTGGCATCGATGACGAGTTCGAGTTCTTCGGACCCTATTCTTCCCGAAGCAGATAAGAAGCCTGCGGTATCCACTCCAAGGTTGGCCGCTACTACTACGATCGAGCACCCTACGTCCACTTCTATGGCTTCAAGCACACCAATGAGAACCAACATGAGAATGGATGATGATCCGGATCTACGTGAGGCCCTGACTTCAGCGAGGAAGGGTGACTTCCGGCGTTTGAGAACGGCCTTCGTAATGTCAGAACATGGAGACAAGCTACACCTACAAGAGGAATGCCATGGCCTACGTCATGCCAACAAGAGCCGACTCAAGAAGTTGCAGATGAGTTACTACTGCGACTCCAACTTTCCGCTCTCTTATCGAACGATTGGAGGCCAGATCCCTGAGGGCTAGGTGTGCACCGGAATGATATTTGGGCTTGCACAGCTCCAAACGAGGAGGAGTGATGATGCACAAAAGCCCTCATGAAGTTTGAAAGCTCTTGATTCAGAAGCTGTAACCTGGCTGTGGAGCAGTTGGAGTTTCAGCGATGCCCTGAAAAACGTTTCGGCCTAAAGGCGGCTGCGGTAGGAAAGCCTTGGGCCACAGCATAGCTTTTGCAGCACTTATTTATACAACCCCAAGTGCAGCATTGACGTTGCTGTTGTGTAAAA